CCAGGTGTCTTGAATTACTTTCGTGCCGTGCGGTGAGGGGGGGGCGAGGAAGGAAGACCCACTTTTGTTCACTGAACGGGGAGACTAACGGGGTACTGTTCCGTTCCCGTCGCGGCCAGGGCCTCTAGAGCGCTAACGCGACGGTCTGCTACCATTTCGCCGGTCGCGCTAGTCCTCCTCATCCGGTCTCATTTTCCTCCGTGATCGATGATGCCGGGAATTCCGTGGTGATGCGGCAACCTTCTTACCAAGTCCATCCCTTGAAACTTGGAGACGAAAATGACTTTATGTCACGGTCGAATGGATGAACGAATGACGGAGATGTATATTCGCGTCCGAACGAATGCCGACTCGTCCCCACATGAATTAATTAATTAATCAAATTATATTTGATGATACGATGACAGCTGTGATCGCGGGCTGTTTTATAATAATAACACGACGGCATTAATCTATAGTTAAAGGTTTGGTAGGAAAATTTTCAAATTACGTGTGCGCAAATGAGTTGCAGAAGTAACGATAAGCGACAGTAGCAACTGGAAGAGCGATGTTTCCATGTCGATCGAGAGATTTTGCTTTCCATTCAGGACCAGCCACAGCCGGCGGAACCAACCCTCATGTCCCACACACGTGTACTTGATTCATTCATTCATTCGTAACACGACATGCCCTGCTGACGTTTCGTCCTGAAGATGAGACGAGAGAAAAAGACACGACGGATCCGCGCACCGGAATAGCGCCAGTTGCTGTCAGTATCCACCAGATGACTCCCATTCTCGGCAGGAATCTGCGAGTGATGCTGGCGGGAGAGAGCATTTCCATCTCTCCATCCGTTCTCCCCGTCGTCCCTGATGTCGGCGCGAGTCGGTCCAATCGGGCAACGGCTTTCTCGTCGTTTCGCGATCGCTATTGGCCAGCTCCAGCGAGTTTATATCGAGCGGACGTCGGAGGGCTGCGCCTCGACGGAGGCTGCTTACCCTCATCTACCCCGTGGGGAGAGAGAGAGATAGAGAGATAAAGAGAGATAGAAACGCGAGAGGAAGAAGAAGCGAGAGCGGGAGATAAGCCGGCGAAGCTTGGCTGCTGCCGCTGCCGCCGTCGCTTCTTCTTCTTCTTCTTCGTTAGTATCGTTTCCAGTCGTCTGTCCTTCCGGAAAGGTTCTGATCGATATGACAGCATCCTCCTCCTTCGCCGCAATGACAGCTTTCTTATGCGCGCGCTTCATTCGCGTTGGCTCGACTGAGAACTGTGCATGAGATTGAATTAGATCGGATCTGATTAAATCAGTAGCTTCTCCCGAAGTAGAAGAGGTTCCCCTCGGCAAAGTTGACTTTTCACCAGCATTGAAATATATCATACATTGTGCTTACGTAGATTCTTTAATTATGCCATACGTCAGGTCATAACGACAACTGGCAGCTTCAATTCTTAAAGCATCGTTTGGAGTCACGAACGCAAAAGGAAACTTTTAATTTTTCGTTAATCCCATATGACGGCGCGTATATAATCGTCGAAATTAAAATATTATTCCAAATTATCGTGACTAATAAATAGCTTGGGCGCGAATCTCGGAACCAGACGTGGGGCGGCGCGTAAGATTAACGACAATTCGCGCTTAACGGAAGGTTCGATTTGTAGCGCCGGCGTTTGATCGTGCCACCCGCAGGTTAATGAGCCTAATGGGACATCAGGAGCGAAACGGCTCAGTCGCACGGATTCCGTCGCGATGAATTTTCGCCTCGAGCGTGTACGCGTCAAGTTGCTTTCGCTGCCGCTCTCGGCCAAATATAGTCCGACCGAGTGTGAACGCGCTAACCAGGCAAATCCGGAAGAACTGGTCGGACAATGTATCCCCAACTGTCATTTGCGCGTCACTTCTTCAGCCGCAATTAAAAGGCGCTTTCACACACGCACGCACGTACGCGATAACGAGCTATTTTTGCTTGTTCTTTTTTTTTGTTATATAATATAGACTGTATCAAAAATTTAAAACTATTTAAACTTAAAATTCAGTCTGAAATTTAATATTGTCAAGTTTTAAAGCGTTTCAGAATTTTAAACATGCTGTGAAAAAACTTTACAGTATATTCAAACGCTGTATAAAATTAATAAATTCCATAATATTGTATTTCCAAGATTTGCAATACGCAAGTTTCCAAAATTTTAACGCAGAATACTTTAACAGAATACTTGGAGATACAAATGTTTGATGTGATTTCGTGCGAGGGACACCCAAACTCTCGTTAGAATGATCCAGTCGACGGTCCTCGAGGAGACAGAGTGACAAACTGGTGGTGATATTAAAATCGCCGCGGGAACACGTTTTTCGCCACAGCTGGCGTCGTTTAAGTTATAATTTGTACCTGTACGCGTGACTGACGCGTGACTAACCACTCGCGTGTCACGTCATTTCTCTTCCCGGGAGCCTCTTCCCATTGGGATACCCCGATTGCAAATTAATTGAGAGTGAAATGTGAGCGAGCGCTTTGCGACCGAGACGTCGCGGCTAATCATGAATAATGAATGTCGGCTCTAGCGCAGTTTGGAACGTTTCCGGAAGCACGCGAAATCGGTGATGTCACCGGAAGAAAACAAAGTGGAAAATTAAAGAATAATTCAATAAAGTTACTATACAAACGCCTACGTTTTGCTAATTTGATATAAAACGGGTTTTTTCAAAAAAATTCTAAAATTTGTTTTCTCTTTTTTTGTATCACTGATAATGTCTGCTTCTTGATTTATGTGCAAATTAAAAAGAGAAAAACTTGAAAAATCTTCAATACTTTGAAATCTCAAATTATTTCGGCAAATTCGAATCTTTGAAATATTTTAGTTCCAAATAATATATATGAAGCGATTACACAATCCATAATAAATAATCGTAAAGATAATCTATGAAGATATATTTTAAATTAGATAAAATAGAGATTATAAATGATACACCTAAAGGGAGAGACGATATATTGCAGGGAATTTCAGGCAATATGTTTTCAGACAAGTCCTTTAGGAAAATGCGGCGATACCTGAACAAACAACATTATCACCAACACCAGTAGCGTGGATGACATCAACGACAACCATCGCTAAAAGGACAGACAGAGCAAACTACTTTCCCGTGGAAGACAAAGAGAGCGAAAAAGAAAGAGAGTGAGAAGAGGGAAAGGGAGACAACGGGGAAGCCACAAAGGCGCCGGCGCAGCGCGCAGACGCCCGGCGTCCCGACGTCTCTGTACCCCTCGACGCGGCCTCAAAAACCCCACCCCGTCATCGCCCGGCGAGATCGCAGCATGAGGGGATCGCACCAACCCCGCTTCCCTGCCGTGGTGACGTCCGCCCCTGGCCCCGGGTGGCCGTTCCAGGATCGTAATATTATGCCGACGGGGAGCAGCTTCCATCGCGAGTCCGCCGCGTCCTTCGAACTTCCTTCTCCGGCCGACGAGGCGGCTCCTTCGCGGATTTCCCGCTCGCGGATATTTTCGGCGCGCGCCAGTTTTCCGCCCGTGATTTTTCCACGCGCACGAGTTCCGCCTGGAAATTCTTCCTGCGAAGATCCCTCGCATTCGCGAATCCGTGTTATTCTCGTTCGAAGAAAGTTTCCTTTCTCGCGTCACTCGCGAGTCTTTTGTCTCCGAGCTTGGTGGATTTATCGCGGATGAATCTGTTGATCGTGAGAGAAGTGTAAAGAGAGTTTACGATTTGTGATGGAATAAACTCAAAACAGTGATTAGTGTTATGCTTACGTTTCGCATCTTAGAACTCGGGAAGGAAGGATCGACGTGTCTCGAAAGGACCAAAACATGTAACGAGGATGCGGTGCTTTAGAAGAAGAAAATGAACTGGTTAGTGTAAAATAGAGAATCAGATTTGTATAAACGATGCATTTACCCGACGGCTCGCGAACGACGATCAAGATGTTGGCTTATATATTTTTAGTGAATAATCACAAACGTCTAAAAATCTAATTTAATTTTGTTTATTAAATAGTTGTAGTTATAATAGTTAATTTAATCTAATTTAATTTCCAATGATTTAAGAATCTAAGAATTTCAGATTTAGCAAATAACAATAAAATCTGCAAAAATCTAAGGATTTATCTGAGAATCTGAGAATTTGAAAATCTGCAGCATGACATCTTCCTCTGAAATCTGAAGTTTACTCTCACATCAGATTTTTATGGATTCAAGAATCTAAATTTAATCATCTAAGAATCTAAGACGATCAAGAATTTCAAGATTTATTCACTAGTGTAATACCTTAATATTTATATAGTAAAAACTTATTAGTATTTTTATATAAAAAAATAACATGAAAAAAAATTAAAATTGATGTGCAACGTAAGATTAAATTTATTGTTGGCACAAATTTGTGTGACGAAAGTTAGATTCGTGGATTTTGCTAACCGCAACCGTGATTCAATCTGTATCCTTTTGTAAGAGATGAGTTAACCAACATGTCACTTTGAATACTGGCGACCACCCCGATCTCTTTAACCGCAATCTAAAGATCCTATTCAAGAGCTTCTTTTACTCAAAAAGCTCGTTCTTTTTTCGATATTTTTAAGCAAGATTTAAAATTTATTTTAGAATTGGGGTATCTAATATTGTTCACAAAATTTTTTATTCATATCATACGAGTTATACTTTAAAAGAATTGGATGTGATCATTAATTCTTACTTTAAATTGATCTATGATATAATCTATATAATTATATTAATCTATGATATAATCTATATAAATAAAACGATATTATAATTACATGCAAATTGTTCGAAAAAATTTTTTTAAATTTTTTCTCGGGAAGTCAGAGAGTATACAATTGCGTTTTTTTTTTATTAAAGAACATTTAAAAAATATGTCATATGAACAGATAGAATTTTATTGCAATTTCATGAGCGCTTCTCGTGGCGCAAATTCCATTATCGCGAAACGATGAACCGAGAGAAATGTCGTTTAGAGAAATTATTCTCCTGCACTCTCGCGGCTTTTCTCTTGTCCAGAGCATGATTGATGACCGCAACAACTGCCTGGTCAGTTCGAGGCAGCCGAGATCGTCGGGATATCCGGCGTTGGGACCGCGCCGCGTGCTCTGGAAAAGTCGGCGAGTCCAAGGTGACCGCGATTTAGATGGAAATAGCCAAGCGGGAATAAATTTGACCACGAGAGCTACATCGTCGGCAAACGAGAAACGAGAGATCAGCAGCGGAATTCGCCGTCGCGTCTCCTGCGGTTTAATCGATTTCAGGTAAGTTAAAGCGATCTTAATGTCAAGGCACAAGAATCACACTTAATGATAAAAGATTTTCAACGAAGATTGCGTTCAAGTACAGTAAATTGTTAAAATGTACACACACAAACCACAAAATATAATATTTATAATTTGAACAATTTATGAGAAGTTGAACAACGTTCATAGATGCAGTATAATTGTTTTTTTTTTTTTTTTTTTTAATTAAAAACACACGCACATGCAATTAAGTAATAGAATATTTAAATTTTTGAAGAGATAAAAATTTGTTTATGTGTAATAATTTACGTTAAATTTCAATAATTTTTAACAGAAGAATTCGCGTAAGAATTTAGAAATTCGACAATGATATTATTTTCAAATAAACACGATACTTCAATATTACTGCAATCTGATCAAATATACATTTGATCCGTCAATCTAGATATTCCGTTATGCTTTCGGTGCAAATTTCGCTGACGTAACCACACGTGCATTTCTCGTTCCGGAGATTCTGTTATCGAGGGATCGCGAATCGATTTTATGGAAATATGGCAACGTGATAATATCAGAAAAAAATCTCTCTCTCTCCCTCTCTTTCTCTCCGCGCGCTATTGCAGACATAACGCTGCCGCGATGCAAATCCGCGTGCATTTTGCTTTTCACCTAAAACAATACTATTTCCAAGGATAGATTAATTAACGTCGAAGTATCGTGCTGTTGTGATCGGCGTTGCGTTACACGCGAATAATGCTTGAGACGATGTTTCCGGTATTCGATATTGCTCGCGAATGGAGATTGTGAAATAACGTGTTGTATTTATGTACGCTTCAATATAAATCTATTTCGTGCACACGAAATTCGATCGATTTCCAAGATCAATGATTTTCAAATAATCAGGTTTAATTAAAGTTTAATTCCCTCGAGAATTTTTCTGTTACTCGGAGATGGAAAGTCGTTTCCTCCAAGATGAATATCTGCACGAGAGACATTGCGTCGATTCACGAAATCGCGAGGATCACGAGAAATTAACGGATCGCCGACTACGAATTGTTTTCATTTATCAGTTTTTGTTTGCGTACGTCACCTGGGCAGCGTGTTCTGGATGAATCGCATTTGAGCTTATTTATGACTCCTAAGGATTCTAGAATCCCAGATGCTCAAATTTTATCTTTTGGCAAAAAGGAAAACCTAGAGTTTTTTTGATTGAACAAACGATTTTATTAAACGTTGACGTTTGATAACGTCAAAAGCTCTAAAGACTATACATATATAATCGAGATAAATGACTGATCAAATGATAAAGATTGCGGTCACTATTCATCAAATTATTTTTAGGCGATTTATAACTTATGACAAAATTTAGGACAGAAATAATTTCACGTGTTGCACATCATACATATATATGTGTGTGTGTATGTGTATCTTGGCATATATTTTATATATATATATATATTTTAATTTTTCAAATGTATGTTTCCTGTATTATTACGACATGTAAAATTAAAAACAGATTTTTGTCTCAAACTTTATCACAAATTAAATAAATTACCTAATAAAGGCGTATACATTGGATATTATTTATAAAAACTAGCCTTAAAATTGAAATTTACAATCGTTTCTATGACTAATTCTTCTTCGCGATGCTCAAGTCGCGCTTCGCGTCTACATATAATACGTTTATCATAAAAGCTTGCCATCAACACACCATTTGCAGAATGCAGCGGTATGCGTCGTAGCGGGTCGCGTCCAGGAAAATGCTGAAGGAAGTCGGCTGTGGGAGCACTACTCCTCCGCCGGGGGACGGCGGGGGAGCGAACAGTCGGCAGGTCGGCGCGAACGAAGGCGGCGGCGGCGGCAATGGCGGCGGCGGGAGCGGCGGGGGCGGCAGCACCTCGGAAGGTGTCCTCGGTTGCGGAGGCTGCGGAAGGGAGATCGCTGAACGTTGGTATCTAAGGGCGGCCGATCGCGCATGGCACTGTGGCTGCCTGCGCTGCTGTCACTGTCGGATCCCCCTGGCCGCCGAGCTCACCTGCTTTGCCAGGGACGGCAACATCTACTGCAAGGAGGATTACTATAGGTTAGCACGCGATCGCGAAAGAGCGTGTCTGAAATAAAGAGTATTATTTTTCTAGGGGAGAGAGAAAATAGAAAGAAAGGTTTATGGTAAAAAAAAAAAAACTGGCTGAGACTTCAGACGAAGTGTCTGCAGCTTTTTTGGGGGGGACACTTTTAAATTTTTAGATAGAATGCTGTCTGAATTTTCAGACAGGATGTTGTCTGAATTTTCAGACACACTTCAATTTTTACTACAAACATACTTTTCTGAATTTTCAAAAAAACAATTCTGATGATTAGAAGACACCTAGATCTGAAAATTTAGACAAAAATTTGTCTAAGTTCTTAGAAAACTTTTTACGGTATTTTTTGAAAAATACATTCAAAAAGAGAGCCAATTTTGAAGAATGCACGCGATCTTAAAGTTTCACTCTCTTATAGAGTTATTAATCAATTAAAGAGTTAATAAATACAAATTCTCCAAAGATTTTTGACATTGAAAAATTCGAGATTCTACATCTTGAAAAGCCCAACGATTTAAGAACTTGAGAGATTTGAAAAGCAATTCAAATAATCATAGATAAATAAATGAATATCATATGGAATAATGCACGCGCGCGTTTACGCGATGACGTTCGGCGTTTCAGAACGAGGGTAGAATGAAAGGCTGAGAAGCGAGTTCGTTAGAGCGAACAGGGGAGGAATTCACCAGCCGTCGTCCATGCAATATGCAACAACGCGAGCCCTTTGTTTCCGTCTACGCGAATGGTGAACGGTCCGCTTCGATCGCTTACGAAATTCACCTCAAGCGAAATTCGTATAATATATTCGCAAACATTCGCACAAATCGGATAATGCACTGTTAGATTCCCAAATACGTATCATATATTTTGCTTCTCAATAATTCCCTCTGATTTAAATTTTGGCAAGATTGAGAAAAATTATAGCGAAAAATACTTCCAATTTTTAGACAGAATGCTGTCTGAATTTTCAGATACACTTTAATTTTCAGACACGCTCTTCTGAAATTTCAGAAAAACGACTCTGATGATTGTCTGAAATTTCTTTCAGACACCCAGATCTGAAAATTCAGACAAAAATGTGTCCGAATTTTAGAACATTTTTTACGGTGTTTTTTAAAAGATACGTTCAAAGAAAATTTTGAAGAATCAACGTGATCTTAAAGTTTTGCTCTCTCAGTTAAATCGTCATTAGATGAGTATATAAGGGGCTGATATACTAATAATAATTTAACACGATTGTGCAAATTTGAAGCATGGAATTTTCCATTTTTTGGATAGTGAAAGATTTCAATAACGCACGTCTTTTAATGACTGTATTTTCTGATCGCAGATTATTCGCGGTGTCGCGATGCTCGCGATGCCGTGCCGGTATCTCCGCCTCGGAGCTGGTGATGCGGGCGCGCGATCTGGTGTATCATGTGGCGTGTTTCACTTGCGCCTCGTGCGGCACCCCGCTGAACAAAGGCGACCATTTCGGTCAGCGGGACGGACTCGTGTATTGTAGGTAGGTGAGAAACAGGAGCATCTGATCATTACTATCCTTCAAAGGCCGCGTCTCTCCTTGTTATCAACGAGTTCGATGACGAGGTTGACAGGAGCACGAGACGCTTTTGTCGCACCGAGTCGTTCCTCCCTTCCTCCCTTCCTCCCTCCTTCCCCGTCCGCGCTAATGACAGTCGTCGAGTCGCTTAATGACAGTCATTGGAATGGATGGATTCGAGTCTCGGGTTCCGAGAAGACAATTGTGACAGCAGATACCGTGGGGGATGTGAAAATAAGAGATTCACGAAGAAGAAAAAATGTTACGATTTAAGGAAATTAAAGATAGGAAGAGAGAGATATATATTTATGTGAAATTAAACACAGTGCAGAAAAAGTTATAACAGTTGTGGGTATAAACATAGAATTTTATCAGAGAGAATAAAACATCGACACAAAAAGGGATGATAGAATCATCAAATGCTAAGCCCACGGAATCTAACGTTCACGCAAGTCGAACTCGGTCATCGAAACTCGACACATAACGCGGAGGTCAGGTCGTCTATCGACTACTTGACAGAGAGCTTGACGACTGACAACTGCAACGTCGCTCCCAAGACCACACTACGAGCTGCTGTGCTGCGCCGGGGATTACGCGGGTGCTGCCGGCGGCATCGAGGATCTCGGCTCGCCGGGGGTGTCGCCGCTTCCGGCGTACTATGAGCAGAGCCCGATAGCTTCTTCCACTGTGCAGAAGGGTCGGCCGCGGAAGAGGAAGCTGTCGGAAGTCACCGGTTCCGAGCTTCCCGTCACAATGAGACTGGCCGCTGGCGCGCTCGGTGAGTCAAGCCAATGTATGTTCCCGCGATCTCTTTCCTACCCTCCTGAGAAGATCGGTTCCTGGATTCCTATTCGCACTTTAAAAAATTGATTAAGAATTCAGATACATTTTTGTCTAAATTTGCAGATGTGGATGTCTGAAAAAATTTTCAATTTGTGTTAATCATCAGAGTCGTTTTTCTGAAAGTTTAGAAGAGTTGGTCTGAAAATGGAAATGTGTCTGGATATTCAGACAGTGTGTCTGTAAAAAAACTTCAGATACTTTGTTTGAAGTTCACTGTACTTCATTGTAAAAAAACTTTCAAACAAAGTGTCTGAAACTTTTTGGCAGACACATTGTCTGAATTTTCAGACATATTTTAATTTTTAGACATACTTGTCTGAACTTTTAGAAAAACAAATGATAATTAAAACAGATTGTCTGAAATATCTTTCAGACACCTGGATCTGAAAATTCAGACAAAAATGTGTCTAAATTCTTAGACAATTTTTTACAGTGTTGATATCTGCTTTACATATTCCCGAAAAATGCAAATGAGGCGACTCTGCCACTCTTTTTTCTTCTCATCCGTTTGTTTACTCACGCGCTTTCTCTCTACATCATGCTACAGCAAACGAGTTAATCGACGGAATTGCATTATTTACCGAGTAACGGGGAAAGGGAGGCATAATGGTGGGCGTTCTCCTTTTTGTAAATATTTGCTCGAACTCTCAAGAATCGCAGATGTTATTTCATTTCGTCCGTGATTATTCGGCTCGTTAACTGGAGCATTCGACATTCAGCGAGCGGGATTCTTTGACGTATTCTTGCACGCTACGCAGATGTTTAATTCGCTCAATGATTTAATATCCTTAGTACAAATATCGTCATCCCAAGTCGATCATTTTTCATCCTGTGTTTCAATTTTTATTTTTAATCATTTTACTCTTTTAAGACGACAATAAACAAGAATTGCATCGTTCGATGAAAATCGTGTTTTAAAATCATGTGGCGTGAGGAGATCATAATAGATACTTTCCCAGAACAGTGTCACATAAATCGCAAAGTCAATCGTCGTGACTTGAATGACACAACCCGCGGCTGCTCAGTCGAGGAAAATCGGCGGCATGACGAACCGGCCGAGCTTATGTTCGCTCGACTTGTGTCATTTGTCAACTGGCACGCTCGTATCACATCATCTCGATGCGATTCCCGCCGGTTTTACGATCGTTTCGGCGTGGACGCGAGCCAAAGAGATGGCCGCGCGAACCGGTACACGCGCGATTCCCAGTTATTTTATAATCGACGAGGGTGAGGATCATTCTACCCGTAGACTACCAACCGGAATTTACGACCAACAGCCATAAAATTGTCCATGATGTCCTGCGTGCGCAGCTTCGGTTGCGGCTGGGAACGCGAATGGTCGGTCTGAAGAGAAAGATCTCTCTCTTTCTCTCTCTCGCGCGCTTTTATTATCTTTATATATAATTGGGACAGTTTTTGTGCGAAAGGGTGAGACGCCGACGAGATGAGAACTATTCCGCGACAGTGAGACTGATACACGGCAGAGACATTCTCGTCTTCTAGCACAGAAGCAGGAAGACAATAATCCGATAGTTCTTAACTTTTGACAAATGCTTGAGATCAATTTTCTAATGTAAATATAAGATCTCTCACAATAAAAGATCAAAGATCGATAAATTATCCTTGAATAAATTTTGAAAAGAAATGCATATATTCTTTGTAAACTGCATTGAATGCAGCGACACTAGCATAAATTTGATTTGCCTAACATGATGTGATAAAATTAAACAATTACGTTGAATACTAAATATTTCGATCAATATACGAACATCATTTACAACTACGGAAAAAGATTTGCTTACTCTTTGTTAGAAGATATATTTTATATTTTTGCTTCCTCATAGAGGAAGCTTTGTTTTTTGTCTTAAAATTAGAGTTTCAAGAAGACGTCCTTCCCCGTAAGGGAAGGTCGCACGAATCCTGGGAAGTTCTCTCCGAGAGCAGAAATCGGGGGAGAGAGGGTGGGTGAATTTAGCGGTTTAAGAATGAGATTACAATTTGTCAAGGCGAGTTAGAAGCCAAAATTGTCGAGTCTGAAGGCTACAGACTTCTGGATGAAGAAACAAGAGCGTGTAATAGAAAGAGAAAAGGAGAGAGAGAAAGAGAGAGAGGAGTACCTGCTGCTGCACAGACACGGCAAGAAACTCTCGCGCGCACAGGCGGCATTATAGCGCTCCGAACGGCCATTCTGCTGGCTGTGGCCACGCATTGGCCACAGCGGCATTCTTTTCCGGGCAGATCGGCCAATCGATGCATCTCCCGGTGCCGATACCTATCTGTCACTGTCCGCCGGGGCCCGTTCCTCTTTCTGCGGAGACAGAAAGGCCCCGCCGAGAATCGGAAGGGTCGCGCCGGAAAAATTCTAATTCCGATTCGATTCGATCCGCGTGCAGAATCACGCCGAGAAAGAGAACCCTAATCATTTTCAGCCTAACTTTTAGTAAAATACGTAAGCGTTTTAAATTCTTTTATACCTTCTTGGCGCGGATAATATGTTTTATAATATATTTTTGACAGGACACATAAAAACATATTTATCACGTCAAATCTCTTCGATTCTATGTAGAAGAAGAAGCGTCTTAATTGATCAATTAGCGATTATGTCACCGTGCACGAATTTATCTGAATTATGGTGAACGAAAATAAAAAAAGAAGAAACCAGTCGCAGGAAAGAGGACGTGCGTTGTGTGCACAGTTGCGGTTGTTGCACGCCGGCGGAGCGAAGGAACGTATCCAATAAATAAGACGACGAGGGTAACCATTGAATTCAATCGGAAGAAGAACGGGTTCCAGTCGACGAACGGGGTGGACGAGGGGGAGAGGGCGAGAAGGGATCCCAGAAGTAAATCCCCGAGCACGTATGCGCCATTACTGTTTATTGTTCCGAACTTCCATTCCCAACGAACGGCGATTCGCCGGTTCGCCAAAAGGGAGAAAGAGAGAAAGAAATACCGCGAAAGGGGGCGAGAGAGAAGAAGAGAGATAGAAAAACCGTTTTTGCGAGTGGCCGCAGTGTCTCTGGAATTTGCTTTCTTGTTGAGGTAAACGACACAGATTTCGTTTATTTCTCCTTTTTTCCCCAAAGGTGATCGGAAAAGCACAGTTATGTTCGCGAGATCGAAAAGATCGGAAAGAGCGCGCTACGAAAAGAAGGGATCGACGTCTCCGGAATTAAAATCCTTTTTTAACTATCCATTCAGTCGACGCACGAATGTTAAAAAAAAAAAAAACTATAAAATATACGAATACAGATGATGGGAAATATTGGGTCGTCTTGATTTTTATATTCTTGGATGGAAAGAGTATTCATTGAAATAAATAATGTGACATATCTGTATTCAATAATCGAAAAATTCAAAGTTTTTCAAGATTCTTAAAATACCAAGAATTTCAAAGTTTTTTTAAGTTTCTACGTTTCAAAAGCTCAGATGTTGAAAACCGTGAGGCTTTACGTTAATATCCAGCATCGTTTTTGTCGTCATTGCGCGTCGAATGATCTCGCAGCAAAAATTTCGATAAAAAACGTGAGATGTCTAACGCGAGAAAAAGACATTTTTTAGTCGACGTCACGATTGCAGAACTGCTGCATCCCACGGAGCTGTCCTCGTCGATGGAGTCGCTATCCGCGTACGACGCGTCCGTGGGCTCCCCGGGACCGGTGCATCAGAGCCAACGAACAAAGCGTATGCGCACCAGTTTCAAGCACCATCAATTGCGAACCATGAAAAATTATTTCGCGATAAATCAAAACCCGGATGCTAAGGATCTCAAGCAGCTCGCGCAGAAGACCGGTCTGTCCAAGAGGGTACTACAGGTAAATAGTTTTCCATTTTCACATTACATTTCGAAAATAGAATATACTGTAAAAAAACTGACTGGAACTTTCGACAAGGTGTCTGCAACTTTTTTGCAGGCACACTGTCTGAATTTTCAAACAGAATGCTGTCTGAATTTTCAGACACTTCAATTTTCAGACAGAATGCTGTCTGAATTTTCAGACTTTTCAATTTTCAGAAATTCTCCTCAAATTCTTTTGAATTTCTAGACATTTCAATTTTCAGGCAAATTCTTTTGAATTTTCAGAAAAACGACTCTTAAGACAGATTGTCTGAAATTTTTTTCAGACACCCAGGTTTGAAAATTCAGACAAAAATGTATCTGAATTTTTAGAACATTTTTTTACAATGTAGCTAAGGAAGCAATTTACCGTCGCTGACATTCCGTTTTCTTTTCTTTTCTTTTTTTACTAACGACTTTCTTTCGATCGTGTAACAAAACTAGCCAACATCACCTTTGATTTTACGTAATAAATTACTTGTCTTTTTTTCACTAATTTTTGACGAATTCGATATTCGAATTATTATAATTTTTGACGCATTCGAATTATTCGATGTTGAGTTGGTTATAATCAACAGTTCGAGTCACGGCGGTCTCTTTTCGAAATTTCATTGTTCAGGTGTGGTTTCAAAACGCGCGAGCGAAATGGCGACGGAACCTGATGCGGCAGGACGGCGGCAACGCCAGCAGTAACGTCGGCTGTTCCGGGACGCCGGTATCATCCAGCACCGGAAATTCTCCAAACGTCGGCCCGGCTGCCAGCATCCTCGGCGACAGCAACAGCATGCCCTCGACATCCATGGAGGAGCTGCACGCCCTTCATCATCTGCACTCGGGTGTCTCCTCTCAGGTCTCCTTCTCCGACCTATACTGACGACGGCTTGAAATGGACGAGGACGCTTACAGCAGCCTCTCCAGCCATCTCGGATGAGGGATTATCGCGCTTCCTCGAAAATTGACCGACCGCGAAGAACTCGGCGAGTCGATGACACTCGCATCCATCATAGTTTTTTTTTTTTTTTTTAAAGAAGATATCTCACTGATGAACGGTGGTCGACTGTTGATAACGTCGTACAACAACTCTGGATAAAGTCTAACGTGTTCCTTGCCGTACTGCTTTTGGAAACAGTTGTCTGAAATTCCACAGAAGCCGATGTTTTGTGCAAAACAAACTTTAGTCGCGCGAAATCGATTAGAGCAAGATCAAACATTTGGCTTTTCTCCGAGATTTACACAGGGACATATTATTGGACTTAACGAAGAAAGTGACCCGTCGGAGGATTTTTCCGAACGACAGCCTAGTCTAGTAGAGACGATTATGTTTAAGTAATCAGTGATAATAATCATAGTTCCATGCACATCCGAATTACCAAAGATTACTAGACGAAGATAGTAGGAGTGTAATCTAGGTATGTATACAAAAAGAGAGTGTATCGTTAGCGATTATATCGATAATTATCGACGAGGCCTCGGGCACTGTTCGACATGCGGGGTGTTCCATAAAGACGTGTGCTACTGACAACATGTTTGAGCGTTTCTAAAGATCTCACATTACCAATCTAGCGTACTCCGAGGAATTGAGAATTTTTAGAGAACGAGGATCGAAAGATTTTGAAAGATCCAAGAAGATCCCTCAGAGATCCGAATATTTTTAAAATACTTGCAAATATATTTCTAGCAATCTGTCAGTGTTTTTAGAAAATCTTTTTTTGCATATTATTTAAATTGTTTGATACAACATGAAATATATCAAGATTTTCTGATCAAAATATGTTGTATGTATAATTGTTTGGGACGCCCTATGCGATGTCGCAAGGTCTATTAAATTAAAGGAAACGGCTCGCCCATGCGGACGAACATGTACATGTGCAATCACGTAGCGAAATTATTTAATTTGTCCTCGTTGATTCTACACGGAACTTTGCACGCCACTAATTTCTTTATCGGCTTTGTGTTGTGTCGATCGGCCAGAATTTATTAAATATACATTAAATACGCAATCATGACTATACATAATGTGTCAATAATGATTCCTATATTAAGTATGAAATAAAATAAAGTTGGAAATATAGTTTTTTGGAATTTTATCATTGCTAAATGATGGAAATTGCAGGCAAGGATTGGGTCTGATAATCAAAATAAAATCATCAGTGAAGCTCGATAAAAATTTAAACGACAAGTCTGCGACTTTTATATTTAACGACGAAATGTATGAAAGTTTTTCAAACAAAAAACAGCGTTCCTCTGCTCGTGCCAAAACGTAGCTAAGAAAGAAATTTTTTAACGAGCTGCTGGAATTCAAAGGGCATGATATTGTTGCAATATTTTTGCAAACCGCGATTTCCGGATTTTCGCGAGTTATTTGAAAGGGATGCCGCTTTGATCAAGCTTTTTGTGCATTATATATTCTTACATTCACGTTTTCTTTCCAAATTATCATCTTTGAATTCGAGCAGTACGAGGCGCATGCACGCACACACATGCATACACACACATACACACACACACACACACAAATACATACATACACATGTGTTTACGCGAGTATGTATACGGATGCAAATAAGGATTAGGTCGTCGCAAGTTCGTGAAACTTATTGTTAGTAAATCGAACGTCTCTCAAGCATATATATAAAACGCCATAAAAAAACTATATTGTAGATTTAATATTTTTCCAATATCAAAATATTTGAAATTTGGAAGTATTGGAGAATCGATGTCAACACCACAATCTATTTTCACAAAGATTCTTCAAGTTAAATGACGCTAAGTCTTTCAGTTTTTTCATTTATTTTTTATTCGGTTATTGATAACGATAAGCTTTCATGTCTAGTCAATTCTTCAAATCTGAAATCATACTTGAGGGGCAAAGTAATACGTAAGGTTTTACAAAAATTCGAAATATATTGTGTGAGCATCATTGTGCATTGACAATGCAACTTTATCAATCATGTAGAAATTAAGTTAATAAGACAAGAAAAATTACAGAATATCTTAAACATTACAAAAGGCACGCGTTCATCTTGTCCCAAAAATCTGTAAATCATTTGTTTATTATATTTATTTTTGTTATTTCAAATAAGTGTAAATCATAAAATACTTTACGAGCATCTTTTATCTTGTCACATGATGCCCGACAGAGAGAATTGATAGGTCGCACGTTAGGTATATGTAGCATAGCGATGATTAAGTGTACATGTTAAAGAGCGAAGCAATTATTTCCAACTCTATAGGCAAATTAATGTGCTACATTCGAGTGCAACTATTATCGCATAATAAATAGTTACGTACGTCTCTCGACTCGGACGCAACTTGCTCTCATCTCTAATTCACCACTTTCTCCCCGACGTTAGATCACGAAAAAGATAATTTTTAATTTTTAAAATAAAAGGTAAGTTCTAAGTTTTCTAATTAATATATAAAATATAATCAGAACTTTTACGATAACTTTAATACGTTAATCTTGATACTAAAATTTCCGAATATTTGTAATCCTTAAAATTTAATTGGCGGATTCATGAAACCCGATATTTGTGAATCAAATATATCAATCTTCAACCGTATGGATGCTTTCAAGTACCCTGTAAAAAAATTGACGAAAATTTCTGACAAAGTATCTGCAGCTTTTTTGCAGACATACTGAAAATTTAAACAGAATGCTGTCTGAGTCTTCGGACACTTCAATTTTCGGACACATTCTTTTAAATTTTCAGAAAAACGACTCTGATGATCAAGACAGATTGTCTGAAATTTCTTTCAGACACTCAGACCAAGAAATTCAGACAAAAATGTGTTTAAATTTTTATAGAAAATTTTTTACGGTGTACGTAAACTCTTAGACGCGCGAGTTTCGCGCTGAACATGTATAATTCCTTTATTTGAAATCGAAGAAATTCAACCTAACGCTTTACTATGAGCATCCTTCACCATCCACCACCATACACCGCCTTCCCGAATACACTTGAACTGAATCTTCTCGCCACACACGAGCATACATTCACTACTCTCTCACGAGGCGCAAGTGCGAGTTGTAATTAGCATCAAATTAGGTATTTAAGGATTTCACGTTCGTGCATTCGAGTCAGAGGCGGATAAGCCGAAAGGAAGATACGACGACGACGACGACGATGATGACGAAGAGAAAGAAAAAGAGGAGAAGCAGGAATAGAAGGAAAAGTTGGGACGAAGGAGAGAGAACGAGAGTTCTACTTAGGGGTTATACCAACATAGCGAGTCCTCGTGTAAATTGTAGGCCTCTTGAGTCGTATAAGTGCACCGCAAGCCGTATATATTTTGTCGGCGCTCATATAAGTTAATTTTCAATCTATATGCGGGTTCTCTCCCTCTCTCTTTCTCGTTTCTCTCTCTCTCTCTCTCTCTCTCTCTCTTTCTCTCTCTCTTACTCTCTCTCACTCTCTAATTCACCACTTTCTCCCCGACGTTAGATCACGAAAAAGATAATTTTTAATTTTTAAAATAAAAGGTAAGTTCTAAGTTTTCTAATTAATATATAAAATATAATCAGAACTTTTACGATAACTTTAATACGTTAATCTTGATACTAAAATTTCCGAATATTTGTAATCCTTAAAATTTAATTGGCGGATTCATGAAACCCGATATTTGTGAATCAAATATATCAATCTTCAACCGTATGGATGCTTTCAAGTACCCTGTAAAAAAATTGACGAAAATTTCTGACAAAGTATCTGCAGCTTTTTTGCAGACATACTGAAAATTTAAACAGAATGCTGTCTGAGTCTTCGGACACTTCAATTTTCGGACACATTCTTTTAAATTTTCAGAAAAACGACTCTGATGATCAAGACAGATTGTCTGAAATTTCTTTCAGACACTCAGACCAAGAAATTCAGACAAAAATGTGTTTAAATTTTTATAGAAAATTTTTTACGGTGTACGTAAACTCTTAGACGCGCGAGTTTCGCGCTGAACATGTATAATTCCTTTATTTGAAATCGAAGAAATTCAACCTAACGCTTTACTATGAGCATCCTTCACCATCCACCACCATACACCGCCTTCCCGAATACACTTGAACTGAATCTTCTCGCCACACACGAGCATACATTCACTACTCTCTCACGAGGCGCAAGTGCGAGTTGTAATTAGCATCAAATTAGGTATTTAAGGATTTCACGTTCGTGCATTCGAGTCAGAGGCGGATAAGCCGAAAGGAAGATACGACGACGACGACGACGATGATGACGAAGAGAAAGAAAAAGAGGAGAAGCAGGAATAGAAGGAAAAGTTGGGACGAAGGAGAGAGAACGAGAGTTCTACTTAGGGGTTATACCAACATAGCGAGTCCTCGTGTAAATTGTAGGCCTCTTGAGTCGTATAAGTGCACCGCAAGCCGTATATATTTTGTCGGCGCTCATATAAGTTAATTTTCAATCTATATGCGGGTTCTCTCCCTTTCTCTTTCTCGTTTCTCTCTCTCTCTCTTTCTCTCTCTCTTACTCTCTCTCACTCTCTCTCTTGGATGGCGCGCGGCGACTCATCAACGAAATGAAGAAATTGAGACTCTCGTTAATATTTAATGAGCAGACGCTCGCGCGAGCGCGGATATACAATGGCCGTAGGTCCCCCGGGCCCGACGGACCCCGAAATATCACCTCCTCGCGGTCGCGTCGCATTTACATGCGCACACTCGTGGAGTCGTCGACTCACGAGAGAGCCGGGCGAATAAGAAATTTCGGGCCGTATATTCGTGTATATTTTCTCCTGTGAAGAGACTGCGAGGCCCTCTCTTAGGAGCCGCGCGGCAGGTGCGCGCGGAGGCTCGCTTCTTCCTTTTTTCGGCACGACGAAATATAAGCGATTGGCGTCCGTGTCTTCCGATTCTTTGCCGATCCGCCTTTGGCTTTGTCCGAAATGAATATCTCGTTGGATTTCTTTCTCGTTGACGGCAGAGGCATACTTGCACAATTGGTGCATCCTACAAAGATTGCGCGAATAGAATACTATTTTATTAAAATACAAATTTCGAGAAAAAAAACATTTTAAACATTTATTTCAAAAAGTTCTAAAGTCTCGATATAATATAATTTTTTTGATCACGTTTTTTTGCAACCGTATCTTTGTATTTCAAAAATTCAGCTTTTGGTTTCCAAGACATCAAAAATTACACTCTCTGTACTTAATAAATCGCATATTATTGATCAGTCATTTACAAGCATTTGTCATGTAAAGTTGTCAGCCTCGCTTGAGGACTGTTCGACCTTTGACACTTGCAGTGGATAGTGGCGTAACGGCTGAAAGTAACAGGTTGTCACAGAATTCGCAGACTGCTAGGAGGCAGACAGACGAAGAAAGAAAGACACATGACCAATCGAATTTTACGTTAATTAGCTAAGCATCGTTAAGTCACACGCAAGACTGTCCAGATGTCACGAATAATGAAAGACCCGTTGCAACGAAAAACACGTTCAAGTAAAAAAACGGTTTTGATAGAATTAAATATGTATTTAAGAAAATTTCAACATTTCCAAAGAATTACTTTGGTAACTTTGAACATATCCAAAATTTAAAAAATATTAAAATATTAATAAAAATATTGATTTTCTTTAAAAAATTTTACAAAATCATTAAAAATTATATGACTCAAATTGAAAGTAATTCTAAAGAAAATGTAAAATTCTTGTTAAACGAAATCGGTCCAAATCGAATATTCGCAATTAGACGTCAATTATCAGCAAATCGCCTTCCAATTTTCTAGAACTCTGAAACTAGTGCTAAATCACGAAAATGATCAGATGACAAAAACGATCTCCCACCCGGAGGGAAGCATCGTGTTGCTGCGCGATAAAAACTGCGACGATAAAAAACGCGTCTCGTGGATGAAGGACAATTGGGAGGAACTATGCGGCGGTCACCGAGACGTCGGGAGGTATCCGAGTGGCTCAAAAAGTGGACCAATTTTCGGTAATTTGTACACGATGGCTCGTTGGATGTGCACGCAGGATAGCCGGTCAGGAAAGGCATCCCTCCGGTTCTCCTCAACTCTTCCTCAACTCTTTCTCTCGTCAGCAAGAGATTGGCGAGCGTACATATAGGTGCTCGGAAGAGAAGTGCAAGAAGAAAGAAGGATTGTCTCAGGAAGAAGACGAAGGACAGGAAGGCGAAGGGGAGGATCGCACGAGTCTATTTTTGAGGGAAGAGGAAGGCTTCGAACGAGTCCGGTCGATAGTCTTTTGTTCTGTCAAACGTCAAACGCGCCTGCTCCATGAGACTAAGGAGAGAAAGAGAAAGAACAAGAGAGATAAGTGCGGAAGAGACGAAGCAACGAGGAACGAGACTAGAGTTTTTATTGGGGTGGTTGCGAAAGCGGTAAGACTGGCAGGCGCGTTCATCTTGAGCTCGATATATGTATATATACAGGGTGTTTGGGTAACTGTGGTGGTACAAATAAGAAGGAATAATTGTTCGGAAGAAAACAAGGCGTTTTGAAACTCAAAACTTTTTCAGAATCCCAAAAATTTGAACATACAAATTTTGAGATTACTAAAATCTAAAATGTCAAAGATTCGAAATCGTCTGACATCAAAATATCACAAATAACAATTTAGCGAGATTCTATCGATGAGCTCGCGTTAATTACAGTTACCGCACGCGCAAGAAAATACATTCAAGTGTATCCCTGACTCGTTTCTGTACAATAAAAACAAGCTGCCATTGCTGCTGTTGATATCGCACAAGAGAATATTTCCTTTTGTCTGCTTTTTGTTTCTTCATTCGCTAACGGCGACGATAAGACCGCCGCGGATCCGATGGAAGCCGCTAGACACAGCAGATGGCCGCCGAGAGGGTGACAGAAGCACGCGTTACCAATGTATGTACACAAGAAAATGTCGGTACCTTCTTGTTTCGGTGCCGCGACCGCTGAACCCACCAGCAGAGGCCCTCTGATGTCGCGGTAATGCGGAGATGTTCCTTTTGCTCATAAAGTCAGGAAAAAGTCGGGCGCGTTGACCCGACGATCGCCGTTACGTTCAGCGGCCTTTTGCTCTCTCAGAATGATCAATGCAAGGCAAGATCCGGTCGCGATAATTCGACAGTCGAATTACTCACATTTTTTACTGGCGTTTTAAATCGTCGTTTTAAATTGTCAATTTTGGAAGATACCGAGTTTTAAAAAGGGCTATACAGATTCGTTGCTTTACACAATGTTATAAAATAATACGGTTCTAAAACTTTTAAAAGAGAGAGAGAGAGAGAGAGAGAGAGAGAGAGAGAGAGAGAGAGAGCGAGAGAGGACAGATTTGTGGAATGTCACACTGTAAAAAAAATTGGCTGAAACTTTAGACAAAGATCTGCAGCTTTTTTGCAGATATACTGTCTGACTTTTCAGACAGAAGGCTGTTTGAATTTTCAGACAGAATGCTATCTGAATTTTCAGGCAGAATGCTATCTGAATTTTCAGACAGAACGCTACCTAAATTTTCAGACACACTTCAATTATTAGACAAACCCTTTTGAACTTTCAGAAAAATGACTTTGATATTAAGATAGATTGTTTAAAAAATTTTTTTTCAGACACATTTATCTCTAAAATTCAAACAAAAATATTTATGAATTGTCGGAAAATTTTGTATAGCACATTTAAATATT